GCTTATCATTTGAGATAAAATCTAATGAGCCTTTGAAGAACACAACAAAAAAATTGTTCTGAAATCTTGCCTATGCATCAACCACATAAGGGACGACATTTATTTTCATAGTAAATCATACTTTATTGATAATTTTGACATTTGTTAGTGGGTACATCAAATACCGGTACCTTATCCCAGCCTCGTTAACCATTAGTAGTATATAATCAATAAGTTATTAGTTTATTTTTATCTGTGATATATACATTTCTAAATTATAATATATCCAAATAATACATTATCAATATAGAATGATCCATTAATTTGAAAAAGAATAGAAAAATAAATAAATAAATAAATAAAAATCACAGAAATTTGGAATTTTGGAAAAAGCAAAAACAAAAAACAAAAAAGTATGTCTTACTTACAGCATTTATTACAGCTCGCAAAGGATTTTTTTTTCAATTATTTTAGTTCAGGCAATAACTAAGAGGACCATAAATGTAGTTATAAACATAGACAAAACATCAAGCATACATATAAACCAATATATGACAGTATTAAATCATAACATAGATGGTGATGTGGATAAGGTAAAGAAATGTAAGTGAAAGTAATTCCGGTACACATTGTAACTATTATTTTATAATAAAAAAATATTCTTCTAATATTGGAAGCCAGGGGTCCCAGCAGATATTGGCCATATGAAAAGGGTTACTTTTTAAAAATATATTCCTTTGTAGTGTAAGAGATTCTTTGAGGTAATTTTTTTAATCTTGTAAAATTTACCTGATTTTCACAGAGTTTTGTTCTATAAATATAGAATTTTGTAAGGAGTATTATTAAGTTTTTACATCGCGATGACCGTGAGGTCATATCGATGTATTGCTATCGCCTAAATATCCATTATGCAAATTAGTTTTGGGTTTTCAACCGATCTATAAAAATTATAGATCCGCGGTCACTTATCTAGTGCAAAATAACATTACTTACCGCTTGTTTCAAATTCATTTTTTCAATGGATACTCCTATAAATATTTTTATTAAAACACAAATTAATAATATGAAAATGTGTTGTCGTTAGTTATATATATATAAAAGTAAAAAATCATTGATGATATAAATGCACACGTACCGAAAAATTGTGTTAAAGCTTACGGAAGAATATCTCAAGAACGTTTTGCGACACTCCCGGCAAGGACCGATAACTCTGTTATTGTTTTGCGGGGAAATATGAATGGCTTCTCATATCCAATCTTTTAGAAAAATCGATTTTTTTACAGAAGAGTGTCCACCATGCTCTTGCACTGCACTATAATTAGAATAGTAGAATAGAATGATATATAAATAGATGAAAATTATATATACATGCAACCGTAATATTAATATAATATATAACAACAAACCAGACGTGTATACTCTGACACTATTATCATATTAGTATAATAGTCCCAGGTATACTGATTTGTATCACTACAATATAATAGTTATTACGGTGCGGTTGAATTTCCTGTCATTTATTCATCATCCATGCACGAACTTGTATCAGAAAAAATATATCTCTGTAAATTAACCTCAGTTTCAGGTATAGAGATGTGATCTATTTCTGTGACATGTGCTTTTGACCATCCACAAGAACCTGCAGTCATCCGATGTTCAGTACTTCAGTACTTTGATTTATCTTATTATTTCCTTTGTTTCCTAAATTTCCAAATAAAATAATATCTATATTAAATGGAATTATTATTTGTGTTTGGTTATAAATCCAATCACTAAGTTTAATCCATAAATCTGAAATTTTATAGCATGTCCAAAATATGTGCTCAATATCTTCAATAGCTTCATCACAGAAAGTACATTTGTCTGATTGTTTTATCTTAATTTTGAATAAAAACTCATTTGTGCCTATGATTCTGTGTACTATTCTGTATTGGAACCAATGAAGTTTAGAGCTTTTTGTGGTGTAAAAAGACATATTATGCACTTTTTTCCAATCCAATTTTTTATTTAATCTGAGAGACCATTTATCTTCACAATTAAACCTTGTATTATTTTTTTTCTAATAAAACATTATACATATCTTTTGACCCTTTTATTGATAAAAAAAGTTCTTATATTATATGGAAGAATTGGTCCATGAATTTTATAAAAATTATCTATAGAGATATTAAGTTTGAGAGAATTTTGATATGATTTTATTGCTGATATAACCCCATTATAAACTAGAAAGTTAGATTTAATTTCATAAATATTTTTCCATTGCTCAAAAGACATTAATTTACCCTCATTATCTAACAGATCATTTATTAACAAAATACCATTATCAGCCCATGCAGTCTTTATAGAAAACAGATGTGTTTCCTATTTTAATATTTTCATTATTCCAAAGTGAGTCTGCTAAAAATTCTTCTTCATTTTTTGGTATAAGTTTATTTGCATTTCTGTCCATGCTTTAAAAACCTCTTTCCCAAAGGGGTTTTTACATCTGTTTGATGGACCTAGAAATACTAGGCTTTTAATATAAATATTTCCTGTGCTTTCTACTAGCTTTTTGAGTTTTGTATTGTAAAGGTCATCACGTCAGCGCATGCTCGTCCAACCACCCCAGCAAGTCCAAACTAGAGGCTCTAAAAAGCCTATGTCGCTCACCTAGGTCTATGAGCATCTTCAACAATTGACTATCTCCAACATTGTGGACTAGAATAGAATTCATGACAAAAATCTCTTTTTTTTTTGTTGATCTTATATATATTGCAGTAAACTTTTTTTGTTTACAGTTTCTCTTCTTTTTTTTTTTAGTTTTGGCCCAAATACAAAAAACGATAAAAAAAAATATATCAATTAAGACAATCTGTCCTATAAAGAGTAAACCAACAATTTCGACAAAATTTTACTTATTTGAAGAGTCCTTGCTCTTTAATGACGATTTTTACCAATATTTTACGTTTTTGCCTACTATCTTGAAAACTATAAAAGCTTAAAAAAAAAAGGCCATCACGTCAGAGCATTCTCGTCCAACGGCCCCATCAAGTCTATAAAAAAAAAGGCCATCACGTCTGAGCGTTATTGTCCAACGGCCCCAGCAAGTCCAGAAAAAGGCCATCACGTCAGAGCATTCTCGTATTGGACCGAAATTAACTAAATTATTGGAAATTAAATAAAAATTCAGGTCTTATTGGAACACTGAATGTTCTATTCCGAATTATGAATAATGTTAGATTATCTGTGTAAAGTTTATTTTACTACCGGACTGAATATATATATGATGCGGAAATTCAAACTAACATTTCAGATATAGCTAATTTTTTCACACATAGCGTCTTTTTCAATAGATAATATACAAAAAATAAATTAAATTCATGGCAACATCATGCTGCATGGTTTTTTGAGATGCACTCATTTGTAAAATAAAATATTTTGTACGGGGAAAACTGTATGTCTAAATGCATTAGATTCTGAAACGGCGAATAGCATGCTCCTAACTTAGGACAGACACATTCAGATTGTGGCGGGTATACTTGTTTAGATTTGTTTTAGTTGATCATCATTTCATATGTTCCAGTAACGGATTAATCCAGTTTACCAGTAACTGCAGTGCTATTCAAGCTCTTCAAGTATTCTCATTTGGTTTTCATATATAAAAATAAGGAGATGCGGTATGATTGCTAATGAGACAACTATCCACCAAAGTTCAAATGAAGTGGATGTAAGCAATTATAGGCAACCGTACGGCCTTCAACAATGAGGAAAACCCATACCGTATAGTCGGCTATAAAAGGTCCCGACATAAAAAATAAGAAACAGTTCAAATGAGAAAACTAACGGCCTAATTTATAACAAACAATTTATGAAAAACAAATATGACAGTCATGAACCAACGACAACACTGAACCACAGGCTCCTGATTTGGGAAAGACAAATACATTGCTATATGTCTCTGAAGGTATATATAATATTTTATACATTTCATCATATAAATACACAGATTTCGTAACTAGACAATGCATAAAAACACTAGATATATATAAAACATAAATCATTTATTGAAGCGAACTGAGTCAGTATAAGGGAAATTGCCTATTAAAACAAAATTGTCATAAAATAAATTCCATACTAATATTCGCATGTAATTTCTAATATTTAAAACTGAATACTTTTCATGTACCAAGTATGATATGATAAAGTTCAATTTTCATATGGTAAGAAATTATATAGCATTTTTTCCCATATGGTACGAAATGGCAGAGACATATATATACACATATGTGTATATATGTCTCTGGAAATGGTAAAGCATTTTTTCCATATCATGCATATGCCGGAACGAAATGGTAAATCTTTTTTTCCATATGGTACGATTTGGTTTCTTATGGTACGAAATGGTTTATGTTCATGGTACGAAATGGTTTATGTTCATGGTACGAAATGGCAATGGTATGAAATGGTTATGGTACGAAATGACTGGATACCGTCAGATTTACATATCCCCCTTTTCCATTTCAAGTAAAATACAATAAACTTGCAACGTTACAAAAAAGACATACCTCCCTAAAAAAAACAACAAAAAAAGACAAACTGAAAAAAAAAATCAAAAACGATCATTACAAACAAATAAAACATAACTGCGACTTTTCGGACGGTTCAGAAGATATCATCGGTTTACAAAATTTTTCAACTTTTTAGAACCCGCGCGCTTTATTTGTTTTGGGTTAACTCCCTTTTTATCATTAGTTGCTTATCAAAATTATGTTCGTTTTACAAAGAAAAAGACATGCTCTTTTTCTTTTCATTAATTCTTGGTAAATTTCAATCAAGTTTTCACAAAATAAACCAGTTACCTTTTACGGATATACGTTTCTACGGGTAAAAGTTCAACAACCGCGAGGTCAAAGTTCAATGAACTTTGGTTGTCAAAATCACCTGTATTCGTTTGACTTTGTTCGTTTATATGTCGAAAAGATTTTTTGTTATAGGATGTAAAAATATCTAGACAGTTTATTTTTCAACAAGATAACCGTTATTTTTTTGTATCAAGTTATATTTCTTAATGTTTACGGAAAAATGTTCACGTGACCTCCGGACGAAGTAAACACAACAGATGTCTCGGACGAAACACGTCAAAAACCCTCAAAATATCGAAAATCTAGATGAATTTAAGACCCGTTTTTATGCAGATAAGGAAATCAAGAATAAAGCTATGAGATGATTAAGGTTTATTGGTGATAAGGCGGAAAATGAAGCCAGAGAAAGGTTTGTAGCCCAACCCTAGGAGGGTCGTCATTTCCTGCATAACAAATGGGTCCGTACAAAACAGCTGTTTTTACAGCAATTAAAACCAATCAACCGTGAACAGATTTTTTTCCTATTCCAGCTAGTATATGTTTGAAGAGGAAAACAACATGGTTTCAAAATATAATCTGATGAAAAACAAAAGAACACATTTATTTTCACAGGACCCTGTTTTTCTGTGATTTAAAAAATTGTGACTCAAATGTCTACATGAGTCAGTTAACTACATGACAACTCAAGTTATTTTGTACTATAATTAGAACTCTTTGTTTACATCATCATCTCATGGCTGTATCCTGATTAATATTTCTTAATCAACAATGTCATTGAACAAAAAACAGGTGAGAGAAAAAGAGAAAAAATTCTGAATTTAGAGTTGGATAAGTAAATTAAATTCTGAAAATGTATTAATTGTGGTATCCACTGGGACTAAACATACATACTTAATAAACACAGAGTAGATTCTAATAACAAAAGAATGGTCTTATATCATGTGTATTTAACATGTTGTCTGGTAGTCAGGTTTTTTTTGTTGATTTAGTTTTCAGATCTATTTGATGATTTATTTTTGACAAAGATTTCAGAATTTTCTATCACCCCAAAAACTTTGAATGAATCTGCTACTCTTCTTAGATGGAGGAACAGAATGGCTGAATTCAGAGGAGTGCTCAAAAAAGTTGGTTCCTTGGATTAATTCATGTTTAAGTCTCCAGGACATGCATGTAGTTGTGTTGCTTCAATTCTGATCTTGATTCTAATGTCAAAACTTTGATACAACATGACCCTTGATGTAGGAGGAACTGAAAGAAGTAAAGTCAAGCTTTAAATCAGTGCAATTTGGGAAAAAACTTACTGTTTTTCGATGATATTGTCGTTTATAGATAACATAAAAACTGTTTATAAGGTTCAAACTTGGAAGCATATGACTGTATATGATTAAAATCATCTTCAAACATCATCATGCTTACTACCCTGGTTTCAGCTTTTTCAATGAGACACGAGACCTTCCTACTTTGATAATTTTCCTAATTTCATGTAATTAGGACAGTGACTAAATGAATAAAAGGAGTTCAAGTGTTATTACAAGATTAACAACCGAGCAAAACATAACACAAGGACAACAATGATCAACCTCAGGTGAAATAACTTTACAGAAATTATAAAATCTAAAATCAAAGTCAGTTATATAAAAAATTAAATGAACTATTACATACAAAAAATCAAAATACATCTCAAAGTCAACAAACAGGCTTCAATTAGAGACAAGTGTCTTCACATTATATTTCATGTTTTTGAGAAGGCAAAGTACTAATAGTTGTGAATAATTCCAGACATAACAGCGACTATCTAACATGTCTAAGATCTGCATTAAACACCAAAATTAAAATAAGTAGGTGTGGTGTGATTGCCAATGAAACAAAAAATCCACCAGAGTTCAAATGAAGTGGATGTAAGCAATTATAGGCAACTGTACAGCCTTCAACAATGAGAAAAATCTATAACAGATAGTCTGCTATAAAAGGCTCAACATGAAATTTGTGAAACAATTCATACGAGAAAACTAACGGCCTAATTTATAATAAAAAAGTTTGTTTAGACATTTGTCTATACTCCTCATTGTTGAAGACTGTTGACTGAGCATGGAAACTTGATAGGGTTCAGTTTTGGTTTTAGGTAGTTCCTGGTCATATTAACTTGAAACACTGAACATGGAAATGTGATATTGTGAGCGGGGCATGGTGTCTTAAGGACACATATTCTTGTTTATATCTTGATCGATAGAAATGTTTAAGTATAAATAAGAAGATGTGGTATGAGTGCCAATGAGACAACTATCCATCCAAGTCACAATGTGTAAATAGTAAACAATTAAAGATCAAAGTACGGCCTTCAACACAGAGCCTTGGCTCACACCGAACAGCAAGCTATAAAGGGCCCCATAAAGAGGTTCATTCATGTAAGTATGGTTAAGAGTTTTAAAAGCACATTTATGGGACAACCAAGACCCATTATATTTACATGTGTAATAGGATAAATATAGCAATATTGGTAAATTTGGATTGAATAAGAGAATATTTATGTTTCTATTTTTAGCATCGGAAGACATGGAAGACTGTGTTTGTGACCCGATTGATTTGTTTGTTGATATGGGAATGTTGATTACTGAAGGCAGGATACCAGATCTATCTCCAAAGAGGAGAGTTGAAGGTCCACATTGCCCTAGCCTTGATGAGAGTCACAGATGTGATAGACATAGAGAGCAGGTAAGACTTAGTCAAGTTAATGTATTGTGATTGTGAATTATGTTGTCTTTTTATGCCCCTGCTGCTCAGAGACGTGGGCATTAAGTTTTAGCATTAAACATACGTACGTCCCAAAATTGGTTTCCTTTCTTTAACTTTAGCTTAACTCAACCAAATGTAATGAAACTTATACACAATGTCTTTTTTTTTGGTGGAGTCACTCTCACTGTCCCTTTAAAAATGGAAAAATGTCTGAATATTGTTTGTTCTTATGTTGTGCTTGTACACCACTATCCTAGGTTAGGGGATAAGTCAAGCCTTTTTATACGCCCGTATGTCCATCCGTGAGCTCCCTTTCCATTTTTATAAATTTTAGATTTGACGTTTCCGAGATAAGGGGTTTTATTCATTAAAAAAGGGGGATTTTCCAGTTTTCTGACAATAACTGAAATATGCTTTGAGCGGTTTTTGTGAAACTTTGGTGAATTGTTTATATCTATTGACGTAAGCTCCCTTTAGATTTTTATGAATTTTAGGTTTTACGTTTCCAAGTTATGGTATTTTATTCATAAAAAAGGGGGGATTTTCAAGTTTGCGGACAATTACTCCAAAGTGCTTTGAACAGTTTTCATTAAACTTTGGTGGCTTTTTTATATCTATTAAAATAACCTCCTTAGTTTTTTTTATATGATATTTAGGAGTTACGGAACTTTAATCAACGGGCGTATCATGCGCTCATGGCACAGCTCTTTATTGTACATGTTGATATAGTTTGTTCTTATGTTGTGCTCGTACACCACTGTCCTAGGTTAGGGGATGAGTCAAGCCTTTTTGTACATGTTGATATAGTTTGTTCTTATGTTGTGCTCCACTGTTCAAGGTTAGGTTAGGTTATTGGAGGGTTGAGCACTCTCAAACATTTTTTACCCTTCACATTCTTTAAATTCCTGCCCCAATAAAGAAGACTGCAATTCAGTTGTTTATAGCTTACTATATATACAATATGGATTTTGCTCATTGTTGAAGACTAGAGCCTTATAGTTATTTACATCCTGGTCTTGTGATCTTTGGTGGATATTTGTATCATTGGCAATCACACCACATCTCTTATTTATTAGCAGCTGGAATATACAAATTTTTGGTATATATGTTAATTGTTTTAGACTGCGCATATTTGTTTTATATGATAAAATAATATATCCTTGTTATTCTCCAAAACCATTGCAAATTCTGTAAAAACAGTTAAACTGTTACTGAAATCATAAATTCCAACAGGATCAAAGATACTTTCAAAGACAAAACCACTTCCGACAGTTCCTCCCATTAAAAGATCATAACCTGCACGTACAGCCTCATTTTCCAAAGCTGTATTCAGACGACACTCTTGATATACCCATAACTAACATTTAATGTTTGTTATGTGTTTATAAAATGTCCTCTTTCATGAGTTCCTTCTAAATGAAACGAGGTGAAATTTTCCTTTGCAATAAGCCACCTGTGAAATCCCCAACTGACCAATGTACAAGGATCATGATGCTCTCTAAGCATAACTAGGGTAGCACTAGTATGTTTAACTAGGTTTTTCACCAGATTGTTTCTCTAAGTTTATCACCAGAGAGTTAAGCTAGGTTGATCTCCAGCATGGTCAACCAGGTCAATTCTACCTTTATAAATATTTTGATCATTTCAGTGTCGAAAAGCAGACCAGCTCAGGAAACAAATGCTGATGATGTGTAGAAACAAAATTCCAATGCGAGTGGATGTTTTACTACTCCCAAAATGTGATCATGGTCAGCTGGAAGCTTCAACAGTAGAGGGAGCCACTGTATCTTGCCAAGATACAGCAATGTTGTTGGAAAGATGGGATGTACAGATAATCTCTAAAAGGTATTTACACTGTTAAAACCAAAACAAAGGAGAAATAATAGGTATTATCGTCCTTTTTTCTCCTATATCATGTATATCAACCTGCTCACTTGTGGCTCGCAGCTGATATTTTACAATATCAATGTGCAGTAAACCATATAATCTAAATGTATGAAAAGGAGAATTTTTGATTACAATTGAAAGAACAAAACACAAATGAGACAAATTAAAAAACTACAGCATTACGCATTAGGTGATTCAGTTAAAAATTCTCTTGGTAGTGAATTTTATGCATTTTGTTGTTGTCTGTGATTCTTTCTGAAAAACTGGATTGAATATTATTGGTGAGATACCAATTTTTATACGCCCGTTTACGGGACGTATTATGGTATACCGTTGTACGTCCATCTGTCCGTCCGTCTGTCGTCAACATGTCGGACATTAACTCAAAAACGCTTTAACCAATTTGCTTAAAACTTTGGTGAATTGTTTATATCTATTGACGTGAGCTCCCTTTCGTGTTTTATAAATTTTAAATTTTACTTTTCTGAGTTGTGGGGTTTTATTCATTAAAAAAAGGGGGATTTTCCAGTTTTCGGACAATAACTCAAGAATGCTTTCACCAACTTGCAAGAAATTGTGGTGAATTGTTTATATCTATTGACATGAGCTCCCTTTCGATTTTTATAAATTTTAGATTTTACGTTTCCGAGTTACAGGGTTTTATTCATAAAAAAGGGTGATTTTCCAGTTTTTGGACAAAAACTCAAAAATGCTTTCAGCAGTTCTTATGAAACTATGGTGAATTGTTTATATCTATTGATGTAAACTCCCTTTAGAATTTTATAAATTTTACATTTTACATTTCTGAGTTATGGGGTTTTTATTCATTAAAAAAGAGGGAGTTTTCCAGTTTTCGGACAATAACTCAAAAATGCTTTCAGCAATTCTCATGAAACTTTGGTGAATTGTTTATATCTATTGATGTAAGCTCCCTTTTGATTTTCATAAATTTCTAATATGACATTGAGAATTAATTGAACTTTATTTGTTTATAGTCTGACAACAGATTTACTAAGTATTGTGCAACAGCACAGTGTATTGCACAACAGCAAGAAATCTTTAATTGAATATAAATTCAATTCATATAACCAATTTCAAGTTCTTTGACTACATTTATTCAGAAACCTGTAATATGTCAAATATTTAATTACAATCCAAATTCAGACCTGTATCAAGCTTGAATATTGTGTCCATTTTTGCCCCAACTGTTCAAGGTTGGACCTCTGCGGGCGTATCCAGCTGCGCTCAGCGAAGCAGTTTATTGTCATGTTTGTGGATCTTGCTGGTACAGGAGAACAATGAACTTTAATGTTCAAGGAATAAGGAATTTTCTATAGACTTGTATGCAGACTTGGACAAAACCATAGAATCAAATATCCACAAAAAGGCAAGTCATTCTCAATCCATGAAAATCAGTACCCACGAAAACAAATTAATCCACAGCACCTCTCAGAAAACTGCTACAGCATGTGTATTAGTTAAGCCACGAAATATAAGTGTTCAACTTAATGCAAAATTTATCTGGCCTTGCATGCAGAATTTTTCAAAACCACAAAATAAAGTATCCATGAAAATATAATTTTTCCATAATCCAAAAAAAACTAGTACCCATGCAGGGGTTAAAAAAAATAGTTACAGCTCACTAGCCCAGGACTTATTGGTAGCAGGGTTTTACTAGCCCTGTTGAAAGAGCTGCTAGCCCATCAAAACTGACCTGCTAGCCCGAGTATACCTTTCAAATTTAGAGTGGGTGTCCCTTGTTTTGAATGCGGCATTATACACAGTATTTGATGAAATAAATCAAATAAATTTTTGTTTTATTAATTATAACAAGGATCTCAAGACATCTTTTTGGATATCCCTTGTACTATGGGTTGTTAAATATTTTCGGGCACAGAAAACATGTTCATTGATATTGTCATGTTAAACCAGTGGTTCAATACGTATATTTGTTGTTCCCACATACAAAGCAGACTTTTTATCAGCGTGATCGGGAAAATAACGGCAATATTCACAAAACATCATCTCTTGTTTATCATCAGTAACAGTCGACCTTGCCCATGGGGAATCTTTCTGTCCATGACACTATAAATGTTTTTTTCCGCTTTTCCTGGTCGTATTTGGCATTTTTTGGGATAAATTTTCAGCCTCATTACCCCCTTCATCTACCGTTTTTCGTTTTGAAACTGACAAAGTTCCTGTGGTGGCCGTACTTAAATGTTTAGAAATAATTTGTGCATGGTTTCAAGCTCAAATTAACAGCTGTCCGACAAGACAGGTCAATATCGATCATTACATCATACACCCAAGTACCATTAATTGAAAATCTCGGCATAAGCAATGTACAATACCCCCTGTACTGAGAAATTGATATTGAAAGTACGTGAATTGCGATCAATACATGATACCAGTCCACCCAGAGTTAGTTGTTCTATTTTTAAAACATGTACAAAATCGGTTCAAATTCTTGGAATCCCGGATGACGTATGTAATTGAATCTGATTGGCTAAGATAGAATAGTGATGAGGGGATTTTCCACTTACTATTTTGGAAATGCCAAGAATTGTTTGTTACTAGTCCGTCGGGCATATTCGGTTACAAGTTTTAATTGCCCGAAGTGTAAAAGTCTAGTCCCGGGCGTCGGGCTAGTGGATTTTTTAACCCCTGCCATGAAAATAAACAAATCCCCAGTATACATGTATCACAGTTAATATACAGTAGATACTATATATATGGTGTTCTGTATTAATATTGCAAATTGTTGAAACAAGTTTAACATAATTAATTCTTTATTATTGTTGGCAAGAGATAGTTATTTTGAAACACCTTTAGACAGTTTTCATTCAAGTCCATGTAGGTTCCCCTAGTGACAGAATGTGTGTGGTGTGTTCAACCCCAAGGTTGACTAGGATTGCAAGTTTTCCTGCAGGCACTCCATCTTCCTCCACCAATAAAAAGTGGATGCATGAAATAGTCAATAGTGCTGAAAGTGGTGTTCTTGTTTAAATAGTTTTACATTTGTCATTTCGGGGCCTTTTGTAGCTGACTATGCGGTATGAGTTTTACTCATTGTTGAAGGCCGTATGGTGACCTATAGTTGTTAATTTCTTATTTTTATATGAAACAGCAACAATCAATCAATGCAGATTCCTGGAAGTATCATAAAGTTTCAATTATGTGCAACTTCCACTGTCCTTCATCAACTTCTGGTAGAGAAAAAATAACTCATAGTATTCCTATATTGGTTGATACTTCTACAAAAAGCAATCTTTGATTGATAGCTATCATATTCGCACAGTAAATATTATTATTTCTATTTATAGAATGGAGAAGACCGAATCTGGTTGTGTTACAGGAAGATTTCTACTCCAGGCCATCAGATCTTATCTACATTTTTCACAGCTCAGTTCCTGGATGATTACCAGTATAGGTTGTCTCCCTTTTGAAGTTATTTACAGGTATAGTATTGGTTGTCTCCCTTTTGAAGATATTTACAGGTATAATGCACAAAACATCATTTTGGAACAGTTACGTTTTTAGCAATCACCACTCCTACTTAAACGTCATTAGGATTTATTCTAAATCGTTTCCTTTCAACTTTTAGCTAGATTGTGCAGAAATAAATGATCAAAAGACTTTTTGCTGAAAGAAAATTTCAGGTTAAAGAATTTTGTCAATTATAGAAATAATAAATATGTTAGAAAAATTTTCAAATATCAGAAAGCATGTTCATTGTATGACTATCACAATAGTAAATGCACACAAAAATTTCTTAATTTACAGCACTGGGCAGCTGTATGGAATCATATGCCTTATAAAATTGTGCATATGTCAAGATATCATCACCTTTTTAGTCCCCTATCGACGAAGTCGAAGGGGACTTTAGGTTTGCACTCCGTCCGTCTGTCTGTCTGTCCATCTGTCAGTCCTTCTGTCAGTCCTGCAAATCAGCTTTCCACACTTTTTTCCTTCATTCTTGAAGATATTGATTTGATATTTGGCATATAGTTTTATCATGACAAGTTGTAGATCAAGTTCAAATTTTGTTCCGGCCTGATGATTTAATCTAGAGTTATGGACCATAACTCTGGACCATATCTAATGTAAGAGTACTATGTTAAACCATATTTCTGTACAAAGGGAGATAACTAATTTTTTAAAAGACATTCTTTGTTCAATTATTTGAAGAATTTTTTGGCAGGTTTGTTAGTTATTTAGTATAAAATAATTTTTTGAATGCTATATATATAAAAAAAAATTATGAAGAGAAATCCTTAAATTAGATAATAATCTATTTTTATTATGTATATATTTCAATAAATTACATTGTGTAGATAAAAGTTGTTGACATTTTATAGATAAGTTACAAATCTATATTAGTTTGAAAGAAAAAATATTTGGAACTATTAATTATATTTGATTATAATTTGAAAATAGATATACACTGTATTACATCATATCTAATTTTAGAGAACTATTAATCATATCTAATGTTTTTTTCATCATGCTTATACGATATTGATTGATAATTGGTATATAGTTTTATCATGACAAGTTACAGATCAAGTTCAAATTTTTGTTTCTGTCTAATAATTTTGTGCAGAGTTATAGTCCTTGGACTTGAAAAATTCACTCATATAATCAGTTTTCCACACTGTTTTTAGTCATGCTTGAAGATATTGACATGATATTTACTTTATGTTTACACCATGGCAAGTTATATAACAAGTTAGCATTTTGTTCCAGTATAATGAATTTTTACCCGGGAGGGGACTATGTATTGCCATGCAATACTCTCAGAATGCTTGTTGAAATAAGGTTTCAACTCCCTTAGACAAAGTTGACCTTAGATGGATTTGACCTTTTTTAAGGTCATTTTGTGATATACATGTGTAGCTCTTCAACAGTTTTGGTTTTTATATATCCTTGACTTTCAAATATTCTGCTATGAGTGTTCCTGATGAAGATAAATGCCAGAAAAGATCTTCAGATGCATGAAATTTATATAGCTTTCTTTATATGTTTTAATTTCACATTAATGATTTAACATGGCTCAAAATATTGTGGCTGAATAACTTGTATCTGTAACCATGGTAACTATATATTTCTAGGTTGTATGCCCCAGGAGAGACTGTGAATTACAGCTTTAAAGTCATTCCAGTTGTTCATCATTTTCCACAATCAGACATGACACATGCCACAATGAAAGTGTCTGTGGCATCACTGCCACGCCCTCAGGATATGCCACACCTAACTTGTATAGAATGTGGTAAAGATCGACAAAAGAAACAGGAGAAGTTTATGAAAGGAAGATCCTCACATAGAACTTCAACAAACGAGCCTGCATCTGAGAGACCTCACTCTTCAAAGTCTTTAGGATTAGATCAGTATAGCTTAAAGTCATTGGAGAGTCATCACAGACGTAAAAAATCTGACCAGTCAAATCAAAGACGCACAAAATCTGACCAATCTGATAACGGACATACCAAATCTGACCAATCAGATAGAAGTAAAAAATCTGACCAATCAGACAAAACTAAGAACAAAAAGTCTGACAAATCAGAGGATAATTTGTATCTGCCATCACGACCTAAATCTCCTAAAGTATCTGATGACGATGATGGAAGTACAGAATCAATGCCAAGGCTAAATTTAGGTCAGCAATCAAGTGTAGGACAAGTTGTACCCGATCAAAAATTGTTTTATCACAAACCTCCGTCTGGAAGAAAATTGAAAACAAATGAAGAGGATAGAAGTTGTAACACCTCAGTTGCCATGGGAACAGATCTCAAGAAAGAGTCAAACATTTCTATGCAAACAGTCTGCCCCGGTGCTAGTAGTAACCAATCCCAGGGTGCTTCACATTTTTGTTATGCAAAAAAACTTTTGAAGGAGAGTCTCAAGGACAAACCACTTTCATTTAAAGAAGATACACATTCCAAACATTTTACTGATCCAGATACACTGATTAAACGTCTTCCTAGCCCTAAAGTCTTGTTCACAACTAATTCTAAAAGTCTGAATACAACTTATAAAAAACGTAAGATTGACCTCAGTGACCTTGCAGAGAATGTGGAAGATAAGATTATGTATTCTGATTTGTCAGATCTTATGAAACCACTTCATTCAGAGGAATTAGAGTCCTACCTCGCTAGTCTTTCTCACCGTGTACCTGAGAAGGTCATCCATGACAGTATTGGTTCAATACCTCTAACCAAATGTAAATTCTTCATAGGTGAACATTTAAATGACATTGAGGTTAGTGATGGGAATACAAGTTGTGATAAAATTGATAATCAAAGGGATGTTACTCTAGTTGAAAAACTGATTCCTGTTACAGACATTGAAGACGGGATGATATCTGAAAAGGAGATAAATCGTGATAGTGGAGGAAATACAAATGTAAATTCTACAACATTCCACAAAAAACAGGAAACTCAAAAGATCAGGCAGATATTAGATAATGAAAGTATAAAGTTACCGGTACAAAAATCTAGTCGAGATATTACAGACAAATGTGATACACCTCAGTCAGAATCTCGTAGTCGAGAAACTGTGACCAAATGTTTATTTAAAAGTCTTTCTGAACCTGGACCAGATTTTGAAAAACTATCTCTATCTCTTGTTAGTGATGGACACCATGGTAGTAGATCACATGATGGTCACCATGGTTGCAGATCACATGACGGGTCTCCGAATGGCTTGTCATTCACAGACGATGAATCAAGTGATAATTCTACTCCAACCAATAGTCTTTCAGAATGTAATGCCAATCATTTTACAAATGAAAAACAATTTACCCATAATGCATTGCCATCAATGAATGATGTGAAACCTACCTCAAATAGAGACGGAGACTTAAATGATTCATTAGAAGAGGAAATAGCCAAGCTACATCTTTCTGATAATAAATGTGTAGGGATGGTACAGAATAGCTCTGGAACATTAGAAAAGAAGAAAGAAGATAAATTAGCGCTAGGGAAGTCATTGTGTAAACATTTAATGACCAAGGAACTCAACAAAATGGGACGAGTAAGTCATTTAAAACTTTGTCTGCTAAATATCCAGGTCAGGTCAATAGCATACTTTATTGTCAAGGTCAGGTCAATAACAGACTTTGATTGTCAAGGTCAGGTCAAAACATACTTTCAAATGAAAAAAATTCATAGAAAGAAAAAAAACTAATTCAAGTACACAAATAGCATGAATAGTAATTTTATGGAGAAAAATGTTTCTGTTATTACACAAGATTTGATAATTGTTGGGATTTTTTACCACTTTCAGTACTCTTGGCTATATCGTGGCATCCAGTTTTACACAAGAAAATCTAACTGTGAATAAAATAGATACATTTATAAAAATTGAGCCACTGACCAAAATATTTGTACTATCTCTTAAGACAATTAGATCCCATTAATGAAATTACATTTCTTTGTTCTTTGAGTCATAGAATAAACATGAAATAATCTAAAGGTTTTAGTCCGAAGTCTTTTTGTTTTACAGCCTGAAGATATTTCTATGCCAAACCAAGAAGAAATCATGATATTCCAGAAAAATCTGGGGAAGAGTTCCAGTATGATGTTCAGCACAGCAACAGGGCTTCCAACAAGGTCTAGTCCGGTAGGTATCCATGGTAACACAGCAACAGGGCTTCCAACAAGGTCTAGTCCGGTAGGTATCCATGGTAACACAGCAACAGGGCTTCCAACAATGTTTCGTCTGGTAGGTATCCAGGGTAACACAGCAACAGGGCTTCCAACAAGGTCTAGTCCGATAGGTATTCACTGTAACACAGCTACAGGGCATCCAACAAGGTCTAGTCCGGTAGGTATTCACTCTAACACAGCAACAGGGCTTCCAGCAAGGTCTAGTCCGGTATGTCACTGTAACACAGCAACAGGGCTTCCAACAAAGGTCTAGTCTGGTAGGTATTCACTGTAACACAGCAACAGGGCTTCCAACAAGGTCTAGTCCAGTAGGTATTCACTGTAACACAGCAACAGGGCTTCCAACAAGGTCTAGTTCAATAGGTATTCACTGTAACACAGCAACAGGGCTTCCAACAAGGTCTAGTCCGGTAGATATTCACTGTAACACAGCAACAGGGCTTCCAACAAGGTCTAGTCCGGTAGGTATTCACTGTAACACAGCAACAGGGCTTCCAACAAGGTCTAGTCCGGTAGGTATTCACTGTAACACAGCAACAGGGCTTCCAACAAGGTCTAGTTCGGTAGGAATTCACTGTAACACAGCAACAGGGCTTCCAACAAGGTCTAGTCAAGTAGGTATTCACTGTAATACAGCAACAGGGCTTCCAACATGGTCTAGTCTGGTAAGTATTCACTGTAACACAGCAACAGGGCTTCCAACAAGGTCTAGTCTGGTAGGTATCCATGGTTACAAATGCTGTCTGTTCAATGCTTTTAACCAAATGTAATCAATGTAGCTATTCATTGTGAAAAAATGGAGTATATTCACAACTTTCAACTATAAATTTTTATTTGGTGTCCATGGTAAAAAAAATAAGTGTCCCTTAAAGACATCCAACTAGTTTTGCTCCAATAAGAATTATTGTAACACATACATACATATAATCTTAGATAAACATTTGGTGTTCTCTGGTAGGTATTCATTTTAGTATGTCAGGGGGTTTAAATAGTTCTATTTACTAGGGGGACTGGATGGGGTTTAGAGAATAGGAGGGTTTGAATGGGTCTAGAGAATAGAGAATAATGGATCAAGAATACAGAGAAATGGGCCAAAAAAACAAGAATAGAAAAAGATTTGGCTAAAAAATAAAAGAATAGGACAAAATGGCCAAAACTATTAAAAATTCGTAAGGGTTCCTCGGAACCCAGTGTCTCGCCTACTTTTGCTGTTAGTCAGTCGCAGGCTCAACAAAAATGGGGGAAAAATTATTAAAAATTGTCCTCTAGATATTACTATCTTTTGATTGTAAGAAGTTCTGTTCAAGTTTGGTAAAAATCCAAGAAGGTTTATGAATCTAATAAATGTTTTAAAAACTTTAACTGCAGACTGTATGTAATATTAACTGGAATAAAACTAAGTCCATTTATAAGTAATATAAGGAAAAAAAGGAAATAAATTTTTACAAAATTTCCTTCTAGATACTAGCTTTTGATCATAAACAAGCTTCTGTCCAAGTTTGGTACAAATCCAGGATAGTTTAAGAAAGTTATTAAAATTTGAAAAACTTTAACCACAGAGTATATATTTGTGGACGCCGCCGCCGACGGAATGTAGGATCGCTATGTCTCGCTTTTGCGACAAAAGTCGCAGGGTCGACAAAAATGAAGATCCACCCATCCAAACCCTCTACTAGGTCCAGTATATTTCAATGATTTTAAAATGGATATGAACAAAAGGAGGTATGGTAGCAACCCAACAATACAAAAAGGTTATGACAGGAAGCTGGCGAGTACCATTGACCTTTGTCAGGAAAACTGACAAGTCTTATTTCATTCATTGGTCTTTAACAATACATTATTAATAGCAGTATCTATAACATTTCATAAGTTTCATGATATAAGGCAAATAAAATCTACTTTGAATTTTACAGGCACCAACAAAGAGAAAGTCATCAGGTGGCAGATTTGATTACGACAATACTCTTATCAGTACCAAAGCTATCAAAAAGTAAGTTAATGTAAAAACACTAGAAATAAAGGTACTGTGGATTCATTTATTTTCGTGGGTATCAAATTTTGTGGATTGAGGAAAACTTATATGGTCGTGGATATTTAATTTCGTGGTTTTTGCTGATGTCTGCATACATGCCTATGGAAAATTTGTAGTTCGTTGAACATTTGATTTCGTGATTTGCCTGTACACATGAAATCCACGAAAAATTGGTATCCAACGAATAATAATGAATCCTCAGTATACAATATAAAAAAACTTTTTAAGAACGCTTTCAAAAGTACTCTACATTATGAAAATAAGACTTAATAGATTTGGTATGAGGGATTCATCATGAATGCTCAAACCCGAAATTTGAAAACCAAGGATATCAATATCAAAATAAGATGTGGTATAATTGCCAATGAGACAACACTCCACAAGAGACCAAATGACATAGAAGTTAACTATAGGTCACCGTACGGCCTTTAACAATTAGCAAAACCCATACCGCAGTGTAAGCTTTGAAATGCCCCGAAATGACAAATGTAAAACAATTCAAACAAGAAAACTAACAGCTTGATTTATGTACAAAACAATGAACTTAAAACAAATATGATATACAGCAACAAACGTCAACTCCTAAACTACAGGCTCCTTACAACATAAAAAAGTCAATTATGAACTAGCAGGAAGTGGTTCAGTAGTTAATATTGTTGACAATTTAGACTTAATTGTGTCAAACTTTAATAATTTGAACTAAATATTATTTTTTTGTGATATTTGTGTTTTTGTTTATCATATTTAACATGTTTAAAGTAAACTCATATTTATAACTGATGAAAAATACAAACTGCAACCTTTTAAATTTTCATTTTTTTGGGGGGACTGAGACATTCTAACCCGAATAATTCAGTCGTTATATTCCACTGCTCTACGATGGCTACATTAACGCCTGAAGGCCTAGTCAATGAAAAATCGTCAAAAAATCATTCGGAATTAGCTCGGAATTTACCTATCTCGATAACATTTAGCTATTAGCTGATTGGCTCTCTCTTACAGAGAGCACCAATCAAAATCCTGGATTTGTGACGCGTTTTTATCGTATAAAGAGTTCAGGCCCTCGCGAGTGGGAGAGTCGATCACGGGGAGGGACTGAATTATTCGGGTTAGAGACATTCCAACTCTGATGAATTTTTGAAATGCAAGTGATTTCTCAGATACTAGTAGTCAAAGCTCAATTCTGTTGATTATAAAGAATATTTGTAAGGTGTGCATGTCCTTGTGACAGGTTTCATCTGACCTTGACCTCATTTTTCACAAATCAGTGATCAACTTAAAGTTTTTGGTGATTAGGTCTGTTTCTCAGATACACAAATTTTAAAAAAAGTGTCATCTTCATTTACAATGTGTGTTTTAACATTTAAAGCTATTGTTAAAGTTATTAAATTTGTTTGAATCTTTGCAGTGCTTTATCCTGCTCAAAATTAGCACTACAGTCTGAGAGCTCGACTGACCGTGAAGAATCTCAGAAAGTTCTTAGTACAAGTGCACCGGCTTCAACCAATTGCCTTCTGGGAAATTTCGAGGTAAAAATTCAAGACAATACTTAGCTATCATGATTTGCGATTGTAAATAGTTTGTTGTGACTGACCAGGACTCAACTTGGTGTCACACAGATTGACCTAATTATTATAGATTAATTAGTTTAAACAATATTTTTTATTGGGTAATGCAATCAAAACCCTATGGTACTGACTTGATATCTAAATCTTCCAAGGATTATCACTACTTTTGAGATACACATAATATAGTGCATTGATCATAATATTCTATACATCTTATCCATGAACATTTCCAGAAATTTATCAATGAAATAAACACTCATATATTCAAGTCACAAAATGATGTTATACTTACCAAGAAAATTACATAACTTTTGCAAGGTGAAGGAATCTAATATCTGTTCTAAAAATATCCATGATGTCCTCTTTAAAAATTGGAGTTATCTTCCTTTGTCCCGAATTCTAGTTGAATCAACACAACCAATGCTTTATACAATGCAATATTTAATTTTACTTCCCACTGATAAATTAAAGCAATCTTTACCCTTCAATGCTAACAAGCACTTTGATTTTTCAAAAGTTCACAATTGGCTAATAAAATGAAAATACAGAGATTTGGAAACAAGAAAAACTTAAAAGCACAAGAACAAAGAGATTGATTGATTGTTGTTAGCTAAACATGATTTTTATAGAGAGACTATTACCGTAGATTTGCGACATCAATTATTTTCTCTTTTGACACAGTATATAAAAAAAACTAGAAATGTGGTTTCATTAAGAATAAAAGCGATTCAGACTTTTGACATGTAAAAATGATTTATTAAGTCCTCTTGTACTTATTATCCACTAGTTATTGATTGATTGTTGGTTGCTTAATGTCCAGTGACAAATATTGCATGCATGTTCAGGACGAGAACAAATTACGATAAATACAATAGGTAGGTCCGGTAATGGAGGTCAACTGGGTTGCAGGTCGGGGAAATTTGGACTTCCACGGGAAAATGAGGATATATTGGATAGGGACAGATATTTAGCCTTGCAAAAGGCCACCTACAGATCCCTCAAAGAGTTGTTGCAAGGGTTCTTAACGTGCAAAGAGCGTGACACGCTCTCTACACAAGGCATCAGATTTAACGTCCCCATTCTGACTGTACGTGGTTGCGTACTTGATACATCCCGCACAGCCAAATGGACGCCCCACTTTGACAAGGGTTTTACTGCCGGTGGGAAGAAGACCTAGTGAGATTGAAAAAGTTGGCACGTATGAAGCATGCATTAAATTCTGAATTTATAACATCTTAGTTAATGAAATTTTACATTCATTTTAAAATCCCAGTGATTGCTTTATGTAGTAGTACAGTCAAACCTGGGTAAACCGGATCCTGAAATAAACCAGTTTCCTGTCCATTCCGGCTGAAAATTTGAGTCCCATTTTTCCCCCTTCAAAGTCCTTGTAAAAATACCCCCTGTAAACCGGACCATGTGTATTCTGAATTCCGGTCTAATTATGCAGTCCCAATACTCTTAATTACATTAAATATTACCTGTCAAATCCGGTTTGTTTCATTAATTCAACATGATAACAGTATTGATCGATATGCAATCAAAACATAACTGTTTATACAAGATGGCTTTTTTTAAGGATAATCAATTAGCAAGGTGTTAAACTTATAGTAGTGAGCTTTATTATTGAAAATAGTCAGGAAATCTACATTACAATATTTCTGTCAAAATTTACAACATGTACAATGTGAGTTTTTATTTGGTAAAACCTTTCCTATTGCCAGTGTTTTCACCAAAGATTTTTTAGGCGAGTCATTTTGCTCAACATTTTTGGCCATGGTGAGTCCAGCAGTGACAGAAAAAAATATGTTTTATGCTATGATATATTATTTAAGTCTCCATGACAAAAAAGCAAGGAATTCAAAATTACATTAAATTTAGGTGAATTTTATAACTTTTTCTGCCAAATGATGATATCTTGACTCAGCTGATGCCAAATTTGTATGTTTTTGATTCATGTTTGGACTCACCAATGCAGAAAATGATTTATAGTCAATACATATGTAGGTTAAAAGCTCAATAGAGCTTTTTTTATGTCCTTGTTTATATATACTATGCGGACTTTTAATAAAGCTTATTTATAATTATTTATTTTTTATTTTTTATCATTATTATTTTCATGAGTCCAGGACTCAAGGACTCTTCTTAGTGATAAACCTAATTGCATTTTTCGTAATGATAAAAACATCTAAAAATTTTGATATTAACAGTACATAAATATAATATATGTCCTAATTTCAGGAATCTGTGTTGAATGGAAGAATAGAACCAATAGGAGTGGTTGAAGGATTTACCGCAGAGATCGGTGCTGGTGGAAGCTTCTGTCCAAAACATATCACACTGCCAGTTACAGCATACTTCTTCCAGTTGTCTGACGACAATGCTCCCTCACCATATTTAGTAAGTACATTACCAGTTACAGCGTATTTCTTCTAGTTGTCTGACGACAACGCTCCCTCGCCATATTTAGTAAGTACATTATCAGTTACAGCGTATTTCTTCCAGTTGTCTGACGACAATGCTCACTTGCCATATTTAGTAAGTACATTACCAGTTACAGCGTATTTCTTCCAGTTGTCCAACAACAACGCTCTCTCGCCATTTCTTGTATGTACATTACCAGTTACAGCTTACTTCTTCCAGTTGTCTGACGACAACGCTCCCTCACCATATTTAGTAAGTACATTACCAGTTTCAGTGGGTGCCACATGTGGAGCAGGATTTGCTTACCCTTCCAGAGCACCTGAGATCACCCCCAGTTTTTGGTTGGGTTCGTGTTGCTCAGTCTTTAGTTTTCTATGTTGTGTTTTGTGTACTATTGTTGGTCTTTTTCTTTTTTAGCCATGGCGTTGTCAGTTTATTTTCCACAAGTTTATGAGTTTGAATGTCCCTTTGGTATCTTTCGCCTCTCTTTTTCCTTAGTTCTTTTGTAATCTACACATAAATAAATTACCTTGAGTATATGAATAAATTTGTATTTTATTTTCGTAGTTGTAGAACAATAGACTCCACCTATTTAATCAGATATCTGCTATTGTAATCGTATTCCCATATGTTTAATGTAAATTTGTCGTGTTAACAATTTTCGGATATAAGAATGAAATGACAAATCTGATAGGAATATTGATGAAAAATTCTGTTAAAACCATGCACAAATCAACATTTTCAAGGTTTTTTATTCACAAAACTCCTGAACATATTAACATATAGTGGTATTAAGAAATACTACGCATTGAAGTCAGGTGTGCATTTGCAGTTATAGTCCCCAAATCAGGGTCTTTTACATGGTCTAATAGAAAATAAAAACTCATCACAGGTTATTAGTTGGTTTTTTTTCAGGATCACAATAGGAAAGATAATATGTAAGATTCCAACCTAATTGAATATTATTTTTCAGGGTCACATTAACGTAGAATCCCTTGGAAAGAAAGGATATAAAATCAAAACCTAATTGTGTGTTTGTTTTTCAGGGTCACATTAACGTAGAATCCATTGGAAAGAAGGGATATAAAATCCAAACCTAATTGTATGTTTGTTTTTCAGGGTCACATTAACTTAGTATCCCTGGGAAAGATCCCAACCTAATTGTGTGTTTGTTTTTCGGGGTCACATTAACCTGGAATCCCCGGGAAAGAAAGGCTACAAGATCCTAACCTTATTGTATATTTGTTTTTCAGGGTCACATTAACCTAGAATCCCTTGGAAAGATCCCAACCTAATTGTGTGTTTGTTTTTCAGGGTCACATTAACCTGGAATCCCCGGGAAAGAAAGGCTACAAGATCCCAACCTTATTGTATATTTGTTTTTCAGGGTCACATTAACCTAGAATCCCTTGGAAAGATCCCAACCTAATTGTATGTTTGTTTTTCAGGGTCACATTAACCTAGAATCCCTTGGAAAGATCCCAACCTAATTGTGTGTTTGTTTTTCAGGGTCACATTAACCTAGAATCCCTTGGAAAGATCCCAACCTAATTGTATATTTGTTTTTCAGGGTCACATTAACCTAGAATCCCTTGGAAAGATCCCAACCTAATTGTGTGTTTGTTTTTCAGGGTCACATTAACCTGGAATCCCCGGGAAAGAAAGGCTACAAGATCCCAACCTTATTGTATATTTGTTTTTCAGAGTCACATTGACCTAGAATCCCTTGGAAAGATTCCAACCTAATTGTATGTTTGTTTTTCAGGGTCACATTAACCTAGAATCCCTTGGAAAGATCCCAACCTAATTGTGTGTATGTTTTTCAGGGTCACATTAACCTAGAATCCCTGGGAAAGATCCCAACCTAATTGTATATTTGTTTTTCAGGGTCACATTAACCTAGAATCCCTTGGAAAGAAAGGCTATAAGATACCAACCTGTGGAACGGTACAAGTTGTAAGTTTATAAGATCTGTTAAAGTGGACTCAGTTATTTTTGTTGTTACAAATTTTCATTGATAGAGGAAATGTATTTCATTGATATTAGATTTCATGGTTTTGCCAAAGTTGACATTTAAAAAAAATACTTTGTATATCTTTAAACACTTAAATAAGTGGTTCCACTACATCAAAGAACATTAGTATCCGACGAATACTGATAAATTCACAGTAACAACTTGACAAGGTGTAGGATTTCGGAACAATAAAATTTGTGAAATTGAGAGTCAGGGATACTACTTAAAACATGAGATTTTATGATCACTTATTTATGTGATATAAACATTTCAGATATTAACTAGTTCAGTGATTTTGACATTTCATTTGATTTAACAGTACAGGTCTTTGCTTCTAAAAGACATTTTTTATGCCCCTGCTGTAGGCGACAGGGGCACTAAGTGTAACCCTTGACCATCCGTCCTTCCGTCTTTCCGTCTGTCCTTCCGTCCCATTTTCGTTGCAAAGCTTGAGCGGGGGATTCGTATCCTTATATTTTTGAAATTTTATTACCGGTACATGGATGAATTATCCATTAACGTCATGATTAAGTGATATCTTTGACTGATTGAAAGGAAAATATAAAACTTTAAAGGAATTTTTCTAAAATTGTGTGTTGAAGTTTTGCTGACTTATGCTGGGGTGTACTAAAAATTCATAATTGCTGCCAATTTTAATGTTTCTTCACTGTCAAACATGTTTATTCCATAAAATTGAGAATGGAAATAGGGAATGTATCAAAGAGACAACAACCCGACCAAAGTGCAGAAAACAGTCGAAGGCCACCATTGGGTCTTCAACACAGCAAGAAAATCCCGCACCTGGAGGCGGGCTTCAGCTGCATGCCCATAAACTAAAATGTGTACTAGTTCAATGAAAATGGACATCACACTAAACTCCAAAACATATAAATGAACTAAAATTAAAAAACATACAAGACTAACAAAGGCCAGAGGCTCCTGACTTGGGACAGGTGCTAAAATGCAGCGAGTTAAACATGTTTTGTGAGATCTCAACCCTCCCCCTATACCTCTAGCCAATGTAGAATAAACGAACACACAGCAATACGCACAGTAATTTCTGATTCATATTAGCTGCCAATATCATTAAAATGAGGCAATATGGTACGACAGCCAATTAGACAACAATCCAACAAAGACTGCAGGAAATGAATGTAAAAACTTACAGGGCACTACCTTCAACAATGAGCATAACCCAAATTGTATAGTAACCTGGCCCTGGATAACTAATTTAAAACAATGAATTTACAATACTGATTTTAGAAAGGAATATAATGCATCTATCTGTTAATAAACATTTTTGCAGTTTCCTGTAGCAAAAATAGACTTTGCCATAGCTGTACAAATAAGTAAATATAAAAATAAGGAGATGTGGGATGATTGCCATTGAGACAACTATCCACCAAAGTTCAAATGAAGTGGATGTAAGCAATTAAAGGCAACCATACTGCCTTCAACAATGAGAAAAACCCATACTGTAAAGTTTTTTTATTTACAAACTCTGATTAAAGTTATTTTTGTTGCATGCACTTTAGTTTAACACTATCTATCCCTTTTATATTATATTATATTTTCTTTTTAGACTTTGTTCAATCCAAACAAGACGGTCGTTAAGATGTTTGTTGTTATGTATGATATGAGTGACATGCCAGCTAACTGTCAAACGTTTCTGAGACAAAGGACAGTCTACATGCCTGCAGACACAAACAGTACAGAACCAACTTTTCTACGTTATCTTATACATCTCAGGTAAAATGCATTATGGGATATTTGTAAGATTAATCTAACGGGCCAAAACAATAAAGCTAAAACTGTTTACGGTCAATTTTGCATGAGGGAGTTGCAACCTAAACTCTCATATAAAAATAAGGTGTGATGTGATCGTCATTGAGACAACTATTCACCAGAGACCAAATGACGTACTTGTATGCTACTGAAGGTATGGGAAGTCCATCCACAATGAAGAAAACCCATACCGTATAGTCAACTATAAAATGCCCTAACACGAAAAATGTTAATCAATACAAACAAGAAAACACCAACAGCCTAAATACAACTAATAGATAAGTCATGTTTTCCCAAACTAAGAGATCAAACTTCATGGTTCACACTTTTATGAACTGGATATTTACAGACAAAAAACAAAAGACTTGAATGATATGTACTGGGTACTGCAATATCAGTTATTTAAGATCCCCTGAATTATTTGTACATGAACGAATTCTAGGATGTTTTGTTTACCCCTATGTTAAATTTTTCAGACTTTACTGGATTTTTAATCCCACATGGTCCTATCTAAAACCATTTTACCAAACTTAACAAAACTTGTGCTGAATGATCCTTAGGGTATCTAATATAAAGTTTGTATTGTTCTTGTCAATCAACTAGTACATGTATGGCCACCATGCTATAAATGGAACATGAGGGCGAAATACATTAATTGTCCTGACTGGTTCTGAAATTCCAAGAACGTGTCAAATTCTACTTACTTTGTTTTTCCGCTAAACTTATCAGATTATGTCTTAAAGGAGTTATTGCCCTTAAATGGTGATTTTTGAATAATTTCATAAGAAAAAAAAATGATTTCCAGGGTATCTTATTTTGTGTTTTCATTATCTACTCCTTTCAAAAGTAAGTAAAACTTTGAAATCGACAAGTATCAAAATTTGATGTATCCCCCGTCCCACAATATCCACACAATTGATATCCAACAAATATTTGTAAATCCATAATACTGTGGATTCATTATTATTTGTGTGATACCAATTATCGTGGATTTCATGGGTATATATGAACCAAGAATTTAAATGTTCAACAAAGTACAAATTTTCTATAGGCTTGTATGTAGACTGTGGCAAAATCATTAAATCAAATATCCACGATTATTCCATTTTGATAGAACCTTAGTAGGTTTTTCTATATGAATTGGATTTTGAGTAAATAGGCATATTCACCTGCGGAAAAAGTATATTCACCGCCCAAAACGTCGCATGTTTTTACGTTATGTTAAAATCGTTTGATGTACAATTGGTTTTGGTAAATGATTGTCATTATATACATTTCTCTTAGTACTCTCTCGGAATATGGAATAAAACAATTACTGTCTTTTGTTTCGGTAAATATGTGGTTTAATTGACTTTTGAAAAACTGATATTCACTTCGGCCGCTGGCCTCAGTGAATATCAGTTTTTCAAAAGTCAATAAAACCACATATTTTCCTCATCAAAAGACAGTAATTGTATAATATATAAGTTTTTCCTCAATCCCCGACAATTGGTACCCACGAAAATAAATGAATTCACAGTATTATGTTTATCATGTATGAACTTTGACCTTGAGTATTATGCTTCTCATAGTCTAGTTTATTTAGTTTTAACTTAGACCTGGAGTATTATGGTTTTCTTAGTTGAGTATATCTAGTCTGAACTTTGACCTTGATTTATACTTTCTATTTTACAGATTTGCCAGCAGTAGATCTGGTGTGAACTTTGACCTTGAATATTATGCTTTTCCTAGTCGAGTATATCTATTGTGAACTTTGACCTTGATTCACACTTTCTATTTTACAGTTTTGCCAGCAGTAGATCTGGTGTGAACTTTGACCTTGAAAATTATGCTTTTCCTAGTCGAGTATATCTATTGTGAACTTTGACCTTGATTCATACTTTCTATTTTACAGATTTGCCAGCAGTAGATCTGGAAAGATTTATCTCCACACAGATATTAGGCTCATCTTTGCCAGAGACAAATTTGAATTTGATCCCAGGGTCGCAAACTACGAACTTCGATCTTTTACAGAAGGACCACAAAACCCAAAGTTCTCTCCAAAAAGATGATGAAGATCTATTTTTAGTTTTCCTAGAATTTTTGTTGAATGGTTGTCAAACTTACAGGAATGACTGAGTGAATATTTGTTGATTTTATTGAGTTTTAATTATATTTATTTATTTTATGAGAATGATAAAGTTATTGTCAGAAATATTTATTATATGTATATGTATTCTTTTTATATTGATCTATAGAGGTCAAGGTTAAGTAATAAAGGTCAAGGACATTGTCACAAGAAGTCATTCATGAGGGTGTATCTAATTTTCTAACACTTGATTATTAAACGTTTTGTAAAAATATTGTAACTATATTTTCACCCAAAAAAATAAACGAATGAAAATGTTTGTATCTTAAAAGAAAAGTATAAATCTACATACAGAAAATTTATAAATTTACTCTCTTTGGAAAGTAAATACCATTGGACAATCTTTTTGTTGAAATGGAGGATTTGGTTTGTGTACACCAAATAAGATAAACAGTAACTGAACTAAATATCAAATTAAGGTTTTGATCGGTAATTTTTGTTGAAAGACTTTGATATTTGTTATAGATGTAACCTAACAAGGCTTTCTTAGGTAAAAGGTTAAAGATGTGATAAGTAGTTATTATGTAGAGTGTGGCGGTCTCTAAACCATGACAAGATTTTATATACTGGTTGTTGGTAATTGATGTTAAAACTCTCTGATAGGAATGTGAACTCCATATTTCAGAACTGATAAAGAAGGTTGCAGTAAATTGTTTGACTCAATAAAAAAGTCTTTTCGATTAAACACAAGCCCAGGCCTTATAGTCCGTGAAAATGTTCATGAAAAGAGGCCTCCCAATATAAAATTTTCAGGATATGAGGCCTCCCAATATAAAATTTTCATTAAAAGAGGCCTCCCAATATAAAATTGTCATGAAGAGAGGCCTCCTAATATAAAATTGTCATGAAGAGAGGCCTCCCAATATAAAATTGTCATGAAGAGAGGCCTCCCAATATAAAATTGTCATGAAAAGAGGCCTCCCAATAGAAAATTTTCATGAGTAGAGGCCTCCCAATATAAAATTTTCATGAGTAGAGGCCTCCCAATATAAAATTTTCATGAGTAGAGGCCTCCCAATATAAAATTTTCATTAAAAGAGGCCTCCCAATATAAAATTGTCATGAAGAGAGGCCTCCCAATATAAAATTGTCATGAAGAGAGGCCTCCCAATATAAAATTGTCATGAAGAGAGGCCTCCCAATATAAAATTTTCATGAATAGAGGCCTCCCAATATAAAATTGTCATGAGGAGAGGCCTCCCAATATAAAATTTTCATTAAAATATAAAATTTTCATGAAAAGAGGCCTCCCAATATAAAATTTTCATGAATAGAGGCCTCCCAATATAAAATTGTCATGAAGAGAGGCCTCCCAATATAAAATTGTCATGAAGAGAGGCCTCCCAATATAAAATTTTCATGAATAGAGGCCTCCCAATATAAAATTGTCATGAGGAGAGGCCTCCCAATATAAAATTTTCATTAAAATATAAAATGTTCATGAAAAGAGGCCTCCCAATATAAAATTTTCATGAATAGAGGCCTCCCAATATAAAATTTTCATTAAAAGAGGCCTCCCAATATAAAATTTTCATGAAAAGAGGCCTCCCAAAATATAATTTTGGAGATGTGGTATGATTGCCATTGTGTCAACTATCCACTAAAGTTCAAAGGAAGTGGATGTAAGCAATTATAGACAACCGTACAATGAGAAAAACCCATACTGTATAATTGGCTATAAAAGCCATTCAAAATTAAAGACATTTTATGAAAGATTAAGTTTTGGGCTTGTAACATGTGTGAGTCAAAAAAAAATTTGCCAAGACTTTATAAAAAGATAAAGTTATTTATGATGTGATTGTGATGGATAATGACCTTGACCTTTAACTTGACATTATATTTTATTTTCTGATAAATAGTATGGGAAATATGTTTAAGATGCTTGTTACTATGGTGATTGTTAATGAATACTTGTTAAGTTATTAGTGTGTTTTATTTTTGTCGACTGCTCAGAGTTATCTTCCTTGAATTGTGAATGAGTTTTTATGTTCAGGAGAAGTGCATTGATTTTCCATACCTGAAGAATAGATTATGATAGATATTGATTATGGGAGTGTGATTGTATAAGCATCTAGATATCTTGTTCCAGGAAAATTGTAGGACTTGATTCTAGTGATGCTCCATTAAATTTAATTTATTTTACTGTTGAAAGTAAAATTTTCTTATGATTCATGATTTTAGTAGTATTTGACAGGTGGAACAATGCTAAGCATATAAAACATATTCCATTGGTTGGGTTCTATTCAGTGATTTAAACTGATTTTTATGCCCCCGCCGTACCGGAGGGGGCATTAAGTTTTACCCTTGTCCGTCTGTACGTACGTACGTCCCGAAATTGGTTTCCGTTCTCTAACTTGAGTTTGCCTCAACCAAATGTTATGAAACTTATACACAATGCTTATTACCACAAAACACAGATCAAGTTTGAATTTTGGTGGCGTCACTTTAACCGATCTAGAGTTATGCCCCTTTATAAAAGGAAATATTGCAAAATTTTTAGTTTCCGTTCTCTAACTTAAGTTTGCCTCAACCAAATGTTATGAAACTTATACACAATGCTTATTACCACAAAACACAGATCAAGTTTGAATTTTGGTGGTGTCACTTTAACCGATCTAGAGTTATGCCCCTTTATAAAAGGAAAAATTGCAAAATTTTTATTTTCTTCTAAATATCAAGTTTATATAATATATTTTTAAAATTGGAGTTATCTTCCTTTGACCATGATTATAGTTGAATCAACTACAATCAATGCTTTATACAATGCAATGTTTAATTTTGACTACCACTGATAAAACACAGATCAAGTTGAATTTGGGTAGTGTCACTTTAACCATTATTGAGTTATGCCCCTTTATAAATAGAAAGATTGCAAAATTTTTTAGTTTCCATTCTGTAACTGAAGTTTTCCCCAGCCAAACATTGTGAAACCTATACACAATATTCATACCAACAAAACTCAGTAAAGATCAAGTACATTTTTTTTGTTTCAGTTCTCTAACTTGAGTTTGCCTCAACCAAATGTTATGAAACTTATACACAATGCTAATTACTACATAATACAGATTAAGTACGAAATTAGGTGGCAACACTTTTACCATTCTAGAGTTATGTCCCATTATAAACATAAAAATTGCTAAATTTTTTAGTTTGTCTCAACCAAATGTTGTAAAACTTATACACAACCGTTCTAGAGTTATGCGTCATTAAAAATAGAAAAATTGCTGAATTTTTAGTTTCTGTTCTCTACTTAAGTTAGCCTCAACCAAATGTTATGAGACTTACACACAATGCTTATTACCACAAAACTCAGATCAAGTTCAAATTTGGGTAGTGTCACTTTTACCGTTCTTTATATGTCCCTTTATAACTATATGATATGCAAGCGGGGGCATCATCTGTGTCCACATGTGGACACTATCCACATTTATTTTTGTTATATTTTATGCTGTCTTCTATTCTACTAAAGCATCTTTTAAAACATTTGATATAAAATTGCTTAAAATAATGTCAGTGGATAGGATGAAGGAGTAAAAAAGAAAATTATTCAAAAAAACTTTTGAAAGTGTTAATAATTATGGATAACCCCTTTAAAAAGTGAAGGACAAGTCTTATAGAAAGACATTTTTGGAAGCACATTTTACGATTTAAGAAAGATAACTCTTGTTTTGCTTTTTAAGGTGTGTAGTTATAATATACCATATATACAAATAAATGATATAAAGAAAACTTGATAGCTTGTCTTTATTACATAGCATTTTATTACATCAATGAAACATTATACAAAAATTGGCAAATTTATCTGATTGATTTCAAACACATATTTAACTCGTGAACAAAGTATTCACTATTGAATAAAGATTGAAATACAGACATGGGGCATGCATCATTGACACAACCCAACAACACAACAACATCAATACAAACATGGATTTGAATTAAAGGAGTAAACATGAATGAGACAACAGCCTAACAACACAAAATTGGGTATACATCAATACAAACATGGATTTAAATTAAAGGAGATCTTGGGTAAACATCAATGAGCCAACAACCCAACAACACAAATAAACATCTAGAGGGTAAAATCTAATATTCTACAATAGACCCGTGTTGGCATACAATATGTCAAGCTATCCACTGTCCTCGATACAAAAGTTGTGATTTAATTTAACAGAAACAATTGTATTTCTGGTTTGAACCAAGTATATTATATTCAACAGATTTATTTTGTATTATCCCTAAGTGACAGGTCACTCTGCAGCCTTCAACAATGAGCAAAATCCATACCTTTTTGTAAGCTAAAAAGGGCCACTGCATGACAAATTGGGATGCAATTCAAAAGAGACCATATGAAAACATGGAGATGTGGTATGATTGTCAATGAGACAACTATCCACCAGAGTTCAAATGAAGTGGAAGTAAGCAATTATGGGCAACTGTACGGCCTTCAAAAATGAGAAAAAGCCATACCGTATAGTTTGCAATAAAAGGCCCTGACATGAAAAATGTGAAATAAATCAAACGAGAAAACTTGCGGCTTAATTTATAACATAAAATTTATGACAAACTTAACCAACGACACCCAATGATTACAGGCGCCAGACATGTTAACTTCAATATGCCAAACTTTCATAAAGAAGAAATGTAGTTTGTGACTAGAGTGTGATTTGCTGTCATTCCTACATACATGAAGGGGTTTGGGGAATGTGAAAAGTGGAAACCTTTAAAAAATTGTGAAATCAACTTCACCTCGAGTTTTTAACTAATATCCTTAACACTTTACAGAGCGATTGCAAACATGTTGAGTTGCATCTGCTATTACAGAATTATTTGAGGTTTTAAAATACCCTTATGTTAGATTTTGACGCTTTTGCCATTTACTGTTCCAGAGTTACACCTCTTATCTTAAAAATTTGGGTTAATCTTAAAAACTATGATGAAATTCTTTGTTGTAAATAGACCTGAAATGTGATTATTACTCAAAGAGAAAGCAACAGAAAATACATCTATGGTTCAACACATGGACTTAAATGGTGATTGGTGCCTGTAGATAGTTTGCCAACATCTATCTGTGTTCACATCACTTCAGTCTATGAACATTTCAAATATTCATGTGAATAACAAAACTTCCAAACTGGGTTACTATCCACAATTATAGAAATAGCAAGATCCATTTAATGAGGCCTGGTTGTAGGTTACAGAAAGGAGAATAAGTGAAAAACATGCAAAATAAAGGGCAGAAAAAAATAAAGAATAGAGAAAAATAGGCAAAACATTAAAGAATGGAGAGTAATGGGTGCTAAAGTATAAAGAATTGAGAATAATGAAAGAGAGAAAAATAGCCTAAAAAATATAGAATAAAAAGACCCTCTTTATTCTACCAATATGTGATACTATAAATTCAGAAATTATTGCGATGTTTTTTGTCGAGCCTTCGACTTTTGTCGAAAAAGCGAGACATAGCGATCCTACATTCCGTCGGCGTCGGCGTCGTCGTCGTCGTCGTCGGCGGCGTCCACAAATATTCACTCTGTGGTTACAGTTTTTGAAATTTTAATAACTTTCTTAAACTATCCTGGATTTCTACCAAACTTGGACAGAAGCTTGTTTATGATCATAAGATAGTATCCAGAAGTAAATTTTGTAAAAATAAAATTCCATTTTTTCCGTATTTTACTTATAAATGGACTTAGTTTTTCTGCAGAGAAATATTACATTCACTCTGTGGTTAAAGTTTTTAAAATTTTAATAACTTTCTTACACTATTTTGGATTTGTACCAAACTTGGACAGAAGCTTGTTTTTGATCAAATGCTAGTATCTAGAAGGAAATTTAAAAAAAAATAAATCCATTTTTTCCGTATTTTACTTTTAAATGGACTTAGATTTTCTGCCAGGAAACAACATATTCACTCTGTGGTTAAAGTTTTTAAAATTTTAATAACTTTCTTACACTATTTTGGATTTGTACCAAACTTGGACAGAAGCTTGTTTATGATCAAATGCTAGTATCTAGAAGGAAATTTTGTTTTCTTCCAGTTAACATTACATTCAGTCTGCAGTTAAAGTTTTTAAACATTTATTAGATTCATAAACTATCCTGTATTTTTACCAAACTTGGACAGAAGCTTCTTACAATCAAAAGATAGTATCAAGAGGAATATTTTTATTGATTTACTTCCTCATTTTTGTTGAGCCTGCGATTAACAGAAAAAGCAGGCGAGACACTGGGTTCCGTGGAACCCTTACGAATTTTATTAATGCAAATAATGGGACTGAATGAGTATCGCAATAATAAGAACTCACATTCTAATATCTGATACATATATAACCGGGTTTTTAGCTGTAAAAATTTATGACTCCATCAAACATGTCCTTATCTTATACCATACCCTTGTCTATATACTTCTAAGTATCCAGAGGCAGATTTAGGGGGCTTATGGAACTACATACATGGTTAATTCATAAACTTTGTCCCATCCAAACGTTGCCTAGTTGAGGAGCCTGGGACCCCCCTTTTTCAAAATTCTGGATCTGCATCTATTTTTGTCTCGACTAGAAAATGCATGGGAAATTTGCAAATGGATTTACACAAATAAAAAAGCTTCAATAATTCAGTTATATTATTTTGGTAATGTCAACTCTGTTCATATTGGTAAATAGTAACCATTGAGAATACACAACATGTCCGATCAAATCTAGTAACCATTGAGAATACACAACATGTCCGATCATATCTAGTAACCATTGAGAATACACAACATGTCCGATCATATCTAGTAACCATTGAGAATACACAACATGTCCAATCATATCTACATATTCAATCACTCGTGCTTCCATATCATGAGATGCACAATGCATTCTATACACTCAAACATGTTCATCGAAGTCTTGTTTGTTCAGGGTAAATATCAAGAACCTGAGTAACTGACCACTGTAAATTCAGAAATAATTGCGTGCATTTATTATTGCGAGTTTTGTAGAATGGACTAAAATGTGTGAGTAATTATTGCGATTTCAAGTAAATCTGCATACCCTCACCTTTAAAATAACTTGATAAAATCAAATCAATTAGTTTTAGATGAACTGAATGTGGACAAAAAAAATCAGAAATACTGACCAGTTATGCAATACTTTGCCTTAAAGTTGACTTTTATAAAGTCAGAATTACTTTTCTCATGCAATAAACATTAGATCCATACATAATAAGGGGTTTAATATAAAAATATAAAAACTGGGTTTTTTTTTTTAAATCAAAGGAATATCACGGTTCTTCATTTATCTGCATTTTTGAAATGACTGCTGTCAAAAGACCTCACAGTCTCTATAACAATTCTGGCAGACTTTAAAGTAATTAATTGATTGGAATTAATACATGCTAGACAACAATAATCACTCTAATCTCATTATGTTGGAATCTTTAATAATTTTGATTGTTTTTTTATGCCACTCTCACCATTATTGGCTACTTCACAGCAATCCTAAGTCAATTAATATTGGAGTCGAGCGCACCTGCCCTGTGCGTGACTCAAACTCACCACCTCAGTGTTGACTGTCTAGTGATACAGTAGTTAGACTACTAAGACCACTCTGTCAGTCTCGAGGCCCCTGAATTTTCAATGAAGAAAACATAAAAATTTAGTATAATCCAACAGTTAATTTGGATGGAAAATAAAGAATTGCTTTAGAGTTATCATGGTAACCCTAATGGGAGAGCAACAGACTGTTAAAATCAGAATGAACCTTGATCTTGAATGGAAAAAAAATTGTCTGTCAGTTGAATGCTTTCCAACTACTGTAAATTAAGAAATTATTGCGAGGATTTTATAATGACTGAGTGAGTATCGCAATTATATAAGATTAAGAACCTGCATTCTGATATCTGATTGAAGCTTTTCCTGAAATGGCAAAAATTAATCTTGTTTTTAGTTCAGTCTTCAAAAAACACAATAATAAATGCAGGCAATTATTTCTGAATTTACAGTAGCTTTCAGTAACTGTGAGAACTCTCAGAACTTTACTTTTGTTGTTTTTGTGCTAAGTATCAATCTGACGACTTAAGCCCTTTTTTTATAGTATGTTCTATTGTTGTGCTGTTAACCCTCTGTCCCAGGTTAGGGAGACGCTTGGTCGTCAGCAAACATGTTCAACCCGACCACATTTTGTTTGTGTCTGTAATTCAGTGTTTGTCATTCGTTGCTTTATATTATGTGTATTTCTTTATATTGTTTTGTACATAAATCAGGTTGTTAGGCTTACTCATTTGAATTTTTTTACATTTTTCATTTCTGGGTTTTCCTTATTGTTGAAAGCCATACGGTCTACAGTCATCCCCAAGGTCGCCAAACATAAGGCAAAGACCAGTAAAAAATTGGTTTGGTTTAGTTAAGTTATATATGCATTACTGGACCAAATGACCAGTAAAATTTTGAATTTTGTCCAAATCGTATATGTAAATGTCCTGTAAAAAGATTCTGGTCCAGTTAAGGAGAATGGTTTACTGAACCAAATATCCTGTTTATTTCTCAAAGCCTTGGGAACCACTGGGTCCAAATAATTGTAACATGCAATTATACGAGGGTAGGAATGCCCTTTATTGTCAAGTGTCAAATGTCCTTTTTTCGCTACCAATGCTATTGGCGTCAAATCATATGAGTCTTAATTTTTTATCGTTATTCGTCAAATGGAGTAAAATGTTAACGTTATTTTTTTTAAAAATTACTGTTTTGCCATGTGGGGTACCCCATTATTACATCTTCTATTTTATAGCTCTTATAGTTGGCAGAGGTACCTTTTGTCTTGAGAAAAACATAGCCATTTCTGTATTTCTGAAACAAATTTCAAATAATCCATTCCAGTTGTCAGGGAAATCCAGGGCCATGTGGAGCAGGAGCAGTTATTTATACTAGGAACCACCAAGGAACGAGCCTAAAAAGACCAGTAGCAAGCAGAGGCTCAATACTCTTAGCAGAACTCGTAGCTATCCTTATGGTCCTAGAACACTGCATTTGCACACTTAGAGAACAGTTCACTGAAATAAAGATTCTATCAGATAGCCAGACAGCGGTTGGCATCTGGACTCTAAATTGGAAGTCATCGAACTACATCGACACTATCACAGACATCAAAGAAAGCATTGGGACCCTCCTGAGAGGCGGCATACAAACTACCCTATCTTGGATCCCAGGCCATGCTAATATAGCCGGGAACAAGATAGCGGACCAGTTAGCAAAAGATGCAGCACAGGAGGCCTCAAATCTCAATGACCAGTACAACGTCATAACAATGTCTGATGTGAAAAGTGCAGTCAAGATGTCAACAAAATTAAAATGGCAAAATAGATGGACAAGAAGTGAAACTGGGAGACAACTACATGAAGTAGTTCCTATTGTAGGTAAGACCCATCCACTTGATTATCCGAACCCAACTATAGGGAGAATCATGTCGGAATTCAGAACCGGCTACAATAGGCTAAATAAACATCCCATCAGATAGGCCAATCCTTCACGCCATACTGTGAATGTGGTGAAGAGGAAAACACTGAAAACTACCTACTAAACTGTACGATATACCACCAGGAAAGAGAAGAAATGGAAAGACAGCTCGAGATTCAAAACATCAAAATAGATCTTCAAACCCTGTTAGCACCAGCAAGTAAGGAGACGTACGACAGAACAGCAGATATAATTGGAGACTATGTAAAAAGTTCAGGGCGATATAAAGATTCATTTATCCTGAAAACCCCCGATCCTGCGCCTAACAAATTAACCAATAAGTACCATGTGAAAATACTAACGGAGAAATTAAGTACCGGGATGAAAAAATCCAGCACAAAGAGAACAGTTGTGTCATAACATTGACCTTAGGATCAGGATCCAAGGGTTGTTGGAGGGGACAAAAATTACTTTCAATCACAAGGCCCAAAATATAGGAAGGTAGGAAAAAATGTATTAGTGGAACCGTAGCTCATAGGTCCTTATATTTCTTGACACTTTCATGTCAGCAATTTGTCAAAATATATAAATAAAAGGACCTATGAGGTACAGTTCCGCAGCTAGAAAAAAATGGGTTCTATTTTAAAATAATTTATCAAGGGAAATGCTCATAAACTGTGCTTTTGAGAGGGTAGTATAAATCGGGTGAAGTCTTGGAAAAAAAAAGTAAACAAATGTTTGAATTTCAATGTCACTCATTTTTCATTTGAAGGGCATTTTCAGGCCTGGACTGACTAACAAACTAACAGAAGTCATTCTTGCTTTCATGGTAAGAAAATGAAAGCAAGAAAATAAAAAATATAATTTTATGCCTACAGGATATTATTCCCCCTTAAACAATAATTACACATTTCAAAACTGATGTACAACAATTTTAGATTCTTTTTGTGAAATTTGGGTGGCCCTTAAAAGGGCCGGGATATTATGATCCCACTGGTTTACTGCTCTAGTACTCCTGGGATTGGCTGGACTTTCCTGCTGCCTTGGCACCAGTCTTCTTGGGAAGAAGTACAGCTTGAATGTTTGGTAAAACGCCTCCTTGTGCGATCGTCACTCCTCCCAACAGTTTGTTCAACTCTTCGTCGTTCCTGATGGCAAGCTGAAGATGACGTGGGACGATTCTGGCCTTCTTGTTGTCACGTGCAGCATTTCCTGCCAACTCCAAAACTTCGGCTGCTAAATATTCCAGCACGGCGGCGAGATACACAGGAGCGCCAGCACCAACTCTTTCTGCATAGTTTCCTTTCCTCAACAGACGATGAATTCTGCCAACTGGGAACTGAAGTCCAGCTCTGGATGACCTGGTCTTAGATTTTGCCTTAGATTTGCCTCCTTTTCCACGTCCAGACATTTTTTCAAGTAATAAGTAGTACGTCTACGAAATCAAGTAATTTTTCGGAATGAATGATTAAACCGCGAAAACGTGGGTATTTAATCGGTTCGTTTATCCCTCGCTCGTTTTTGATTGGATGTTCAAATCTGTAACGACGTTGCTGGTTAGTCAATAAACCAGTATTCTTATTGGACATTTTTTACGGTAATTGATTGGTTTAGACTAGCGCACTTGTTAATCTATGATCTGAAGAATTTGTGACGGATCGCCACAACAATTATTATGTAATAAATAAATTTAAAAAAATTATCTGGGTATAGAAGCAGAAAATTAATTTAAAATGGGCTCACACAAAAACTAAAAATAAATTATAGCAAATATAAAAAAAAAAACAAAATAAATGACGAAAATATAACATTTTTCAACATATTTAAAAAAAAATTCAAAGTGAGTTTCATTCGCTACAAAAAATAACAGGTTATGGCACCTTTATATTCTTATATTTGTATCCACTTTATGAGCCTCACAAACTTTTCCCTAGCAGGATGTTATGCAAGGCCGTCTTTTCCCCCAAGGTCGAATTTCATTTCTATTTGAAGTGGCTTGGATTTTGTTTTAAAATGAAATTTCTCGCGATCAATTGAGTAAACAATATTTTCAAGCAGCAAAATGCGATAAATACTTGTTATAATAACATTGTATTTTTTTAATTTTCAAGACCGCCATTTCCCTCTATTCTATCCTTCTTTTTTTCTTTTTTTTTTTGGGGGGGGGGGGGGGGGTTCTCTATTCTTTGCGTATTCTGTAAATATAAACCAAAGTATTCGAACAGTTAGACATATCCTTGGTAAACTCCATCCAGACCCTCAGTAATAATAAAATATATTCTTGACTAAATTCAAACACTGGACTTTTTGTAAAACTAAACCTGGGATATGATATAACTTGATGACCGAGTACGACCATAGATATTCGTGTATATAACATGCGAATGAAAAAAAAATGTCTTTTTAAGATAAATCGTGTACATATGTTCTTTGTTTTACCATTATTGCTTCTTCATAAATATATAGGGTGCCATCCGCTCAATCCACAACTTGGTAACAGTTTAACAGAGAACCCAGTTCATAACTTATTTCTAAAATATGCCAGACTTCACCATACGTCAAAAAAAATCTGGGACACAATATATTTACTTTAGTAATGTATACCATATCCCAGATAAAATCAAAGCCAATAATTTATTAGTTTAAACTGGGACTATTATATAGCTAGTATAATAGTCCCAGGTTTAAAATCAAAGCAAATAATGTATTGGTTTAAAGGACATTCAAATAACAATACTTATACAAATCAGGAACATATATATTATACTGCAAAGCCTACGAGATTCATTTCCCGTTAGATATACTGTTCCCAGTACAAATGTATACAAAATTCAATCCTAAAAAACCTTCAATAAAGACAATATAAAAAAATCTACACAATATAAAATAAATGAATAACTATATATATGTAAAGTACAAATAAAATATTGTTTATATAAGATCATATAAAATATGATATCGGAGTAGGTAAAACATAGGTCTTTAATTTCAGACAAGGACATATAGTGATTTCTCTTTAGTTTCAGACAAGGACATATAGTGATTTCTCTTTTGGGTTGATATTCTTTATTGTGATTTGAATTACAACTGGACAATACATTCAATTAAAATTAGGTATATAAAAATATGTTCCCAATTGATATGCCTTATCCGTTGAAGTACTTTAGCTGAGACTACTATTACATATTGAATGTCAGTGGCGGATCCAGAACTTTTCATAAGGGTGGGGGGGGGGGGGGGGGGGGGGGGGACTGACTGCCATAAGAGGGGCCCACTACAGTCATGAATCAGTGATTCCACCTGGATCCGCCTATGAATGTTGAATGTTATAAAGTATTCCCAGACTATATGGCTAATGTTTCAAAACTTCGTATAACAAGTTAATTGATAAAAGAAACTTTTATTTGAAAAGTCCAAGGAAATACCTCCAGTCGTGAATCCAGACATTTTGAAACAGGGAAAGGGGGTTCCAATCTCCAGAACACCATGAAACGTTCGCATAATTAAATAAGAATAAAAAAAGGCGGTGAGTTCCAACCCCCGGGAATGTAGGACAAAAAGTCACAGACAAAAAGTCACAGGACAAAAAGTCACAATTCAGTTTTGAGATTATTTTTCTTTAAAGAAGAAAACACTTATTTAAAAAAATAAATTTTTGTTTTTTCTTGAACTATTATATATGAAGCAACTTTGTAATTAAATTTATTCAATAAATATCAATAATGATCAAATAATTGTTATGAAAACAAAATGTCAAAGTGACTTGGTACTTAAATGGCTTCATTGTGCCAAGAAATTTATCCTTTGCATGCTTAAAATTTAATAAATTTTCATTTATCAAGGCTTATGAACAATTTCCTAAACTTAAAAATGAATATATGTAATAAAAAGAAAATATTTCAAAGATCTTTCTCTTATATATTCAAACAATTGTCAACAAATTATTTGTGACTTTTTGTCCTGTGACTTTTTGTCCTATCAAATTTGTGACTTTATGTCCTGTGACTTTTTGTCCTGTGACTTTCTGTCCGTTTACCACCCCCGGAACCCCCCTCCTTTTCTGGATCCACCAATGACCTCTATCCTGTACAAACTATTGATAGTTGAAAATACATATAACTTATTGGCGAAATGTTTCTTTGTATCGGAGTAAGTATAAAGCGCTCATCTATATGCACCAAGTCATCTACGGTATATAGGAATTTCCAACTCTGTAAATTTAATAAAAACTACAGTCAGTGTATGAAAAATTGCTCAGATCTGCACAAATAGTTTATGCTCGATAGTAGCCATTTTCAATGATTTCATTCATGAGAATCATCTTAGTGTTTGTCCATATTTTATAATTCACAAAATAAAGCATCAGCAGTTGACTAATCATGGCTGTGAGCGGCAATTTTCATGAAATATTTTAATTTTTGGGCCTAATACTTTTTAATGAAAATAACACTTTGTGCGCCGAAACAGGATTTGTTTATGGGGATATACCTTCATCACATCATAAATGAAATAACAATTTTACAGATTTTTGGATATTAAAATATGACCAAATTTATTTTTTTTTCAAAGTTGGCCAATTGTTCATTTGAGCTCAACTAACGATTGATTAAACCAGAGACATGTAAAACACATTGAATTACATGTCTCTGATTAAACAAAATATTCTCATTCAAAACTTGAAGTTTTTGGGGGATTTTTTTTTTTTGGTTGGGTTTGTTTCTTTGTACTTTACATCTTCACTAATCATAAATACATCTTTACTCTGTAAAATGTCATAAATCCTTCGTGGGAGCTCATTTCGTATAGACGTGATGTAATAATCCTGGTCAGTGTTTGAGTGCAATTAACAGTGTCACCTCCTGCGGAAGCTAATGACACAGATGTGTCATGTTAAGACTCAGTGACGCAATCTCGTTTTGTGGTTTGATATTACACAGAGGCCGCCTGCCAGGAGACATTTTATTATTACTTTACATGCCACTGATAGTCTTAACGATTATGCAATCAATTAAAACACGAAGGCCACTTATATTAAACAGGGTCAAAATGTCATATCATATGGAAATTAATTTGATTATAAAAAATCATTCTCAGTAAAAATTATATATGCAATTTTACACATTTTTAAGAATTAAAATTGTTATTCATTGCTATTTGATGCTTTTGAAGACATTTTGATAAAAAAAAAATGCAATGTTTTTGAAATAATTTTGCATCGAAGGACGCTCTATTCTTTTACCATATATGTCTCTGTTCTAACCAAAATTAATTAGTTTGTATCCGAGACAATAAAAGCTTTACTTCCAGCACAATTATGGTTTTGGCTAACTTGCTGTCCTTCCTTTACATTTTTGTGGATAAATACTCAAAATCTGTCAAATATAGACAGTTTGCAGTTTATCTATTCGTATAAAGACAGTTTACTGGAATAGTATATGTATACATATTAAAGCACAATGATGCAGTACCATAACATATAGTCAAATTACTGAAAACACCTTAAATTTTTGAAAGATATTGTTTCGCATTAACCATAAAATCATAGTTTGAATTCTAAATTCCTTGACTGAATCGAAAAGTGTCGTCACGGATATGTATGAAACATTTGTCACTGAGCGTCCATGAAATGAAAATAAAACCATCATAATGTATGAGGGTCTGGATGGGGTTTACAGAATAGAGATGAATGGGCAAAATGTCCACAATAAATGGCTAAAAAATCAAGGATAGAATGAAAAAGATGGGCAAAAAATATGCAGAATAGAGAAAATCAACTTAAAAGATTAAAGAATACAGATATGAAGGACCTCCAATCCAGACCCTCATGTATATTTATCATGTCAAACGAGGGACAGTCTATACTAATATAGTATCCTACTAGTATAGACTGTCCCTGGTCAAACTCACTTGATGCTTGGCACTACAGTGTAAAAGGGAAGATGTGGGGATATTATATGGTTGAAAGTCACAGGGAAAATAATCACAATATCAATTTATATAGAAATAAGAAGATGTGGTATGAGTGCCAATGAGAAAACTCTCCATCCAAGTAAAAAAGTAAATAATTATAGGTCAAAGTACCGGTACGGCCTTCAATATATATAAAGTTATAAACTAAGGTTCCAACTCCCTCAGGCAAAGTTGACCTTTGGATGAATTTGCTTTTCTTTTAGGTCACTTTCGGTCATATAACTCTAAATTCTACGTATCTATACATGAGGGTGTGGATAGGGGTTTACAGAATGGAGAATAAAGTGAAAAAAATATAAAGAATATGGTAAAATATAAAGAATAGAGAATAATGGTCAAAAAGTATAAAGAATACAAAAATGAAGGAATCACCATCCAGACCCTCATATATACAGACGTGGCTATTGGGTTGAGCATTCCTGATAAAGGTAAATTCTGAAA